GTGACAGGCGACATTTCTCGAAATCATTTCCAAATGGTTACTGTCGACCCGAATTTTGTGTAAGTCGTGCGTTTATTGCCCTCGATGTGCGCGACGTTGTGTGTCTGTATTGTTTGGATGAAAGTTAACAAGGCGGAGGCATTTGCTTCTTGTTGTTTTATGTATTAATCGGAAATAAAGCAAGTGTATGGCGGTCATACAAAATCTGTTCAAGGATAACAGTGTGATAACAAAAAAGGTGCTATAATAAATAATCTACCGATTTTAATGTCTTTTTTTAGATAAAAAATTCTTTGAGGTCTGTGTAGACGCCGTGTGGTCCCGGCATAGAATAGGCCACCCCTTCCTTTCGCGTGGGTGTACTAAGAGTCGACTAAGAGAGGACTAGGGATGGGCAGCAGCGTCCCTCTTAAAACATCTCTAAAGCTTAACTGCAGTTGCCGGGGGGGAAAGGATTGTTAGCAATGGAGTTTGATATCCCCATTGCTAGTAATATTCCTTATTAGGTCGACCTCTACGTGATTTCCCCTGGAAACCATTGTGAACAATTCTTGTTGAATTCGTCACGATGGGCTAACTGACCTGCTTCATCCTCACCTATCATTCTTCACTGGTGCCCCGCCGGTGTATACCGATAGCGCGGGTGGGGTTACTATTCCATTATCATCCATTAAAAAAAAACTGCAGTTGCCAACTCGCCTGCCTAGTATGGCAACTACTGGCAAGGTGCTTATGTTTAGCAGTGGACAGTTAAAAATTGAAAGAATAATGATGATTATTGTTAGAAAAACACTTGTACTAAACAAAAGAAGGTGTTGTAATAAACAATCGACCGGTTTTAATGTGTTTTTTTTTAGACAATAAATTTCTTTGAGACCACTGCCGACTGATAAGATACCCAAGATGCTAGCCGCATTGTCCCGCTGTATATATGGAAATGCTGGACAAAATTACATACAGGCCAGACTTCTGGTTGCCATAGGTTTCTGCCAGCTGATGTGATACTTCTAAATGGGGTGAAAAGTTTTTTTTTACAATACGGGGGGCAAACGAGCAGGCGGCTCACCTGATGGTAAGTGACTACCGCCGCCCATGATCACTCACAACACCAACGGCATTACAGGTGTGTTGCCGGCCTTTTAAAAAGGAATATGCTCTTTTTTTGAAGGTTATGTCGATTGTTAGTAATGGGGATGCTTTTCCCCATGTATTCCCCCCCCCCCCTTAGGAGGTATTCGATATTTACGATCATACATGAATCATTTTGACCATAATATAATGTACTATATATCATCCCATATTCTACAGCTAAAGCCTAAGCATTGGCAGGCCGTAGTCCGTGTCACGTGGAAAAAAATTGGAGAGATAAGTCCAAATGTGGGCTACTCCAAGCGTATGACAAAAAAACCGATACATCGTACACACGGTTTCGACGTCGGAATGCAATCAGAAATTGGTTCGAAAATTTCATGCGTTAACCGTGCGTCGAAAAGCAAAATTGGGCATAGATAAATTAATTACGTATTCCGTGGTTCAACGCCAAAGATCCGGCCGGACATACATACATACATATTATAACGAAAAAACATTACCCTCGTTTTTTTTTTGCCTTTTAACGAAACAGTATACTCTGTTATGTCCACGCTACTGCTCATGTCTATAGACGACGGTTACCACTTCCCATCAGGTGGGCCGTCAGCTTGTTTGCCATTCTAAGTCGCATAAAACACATCCAATAACGGCTGAAGTCACGGGATATAACTAGTAATTCAGTAACATTAGACATTATTATTGCTTTTTACAAATGAACGTCTAGAAAGTAAAATTTTATCAAAATAACACTTCTATGTATAATCACCTCCCACATTTTTTATATTACTCTTTGTATGTCTAAGTAAACAATTTTATTGTGACAGACAAATATTTTCTCATATTTAAACGACAAAGACCAAGATAGTCGAAAGTATCAAATAAAATTATAGTTTTAAAATTACAATATCTAAAAAGTTTCCATATTATCTGTCGTTGGTTTGGTCATTTGGAGAGGATGGATGAAAGAAGAATTACGAAAGAGATTTATGCAGCAAGAATGAATGGAGACGTCGATAGGTGCCGCCCTAGACGGACGTATGTCGACCAAATAGGCGACGTGCTGAAGAAGGACCAAATTAAAAGTACCCGTAACCGGCGAGCGTGTATGAAAAGATTGATGAATGTGGAAGAAGCGAAAGAGGTTTGTTTGAATCGAAGCAGTTGGCGTTCCATTGTTTCTGCCTACCCTAATGGGAGACAGGCGTGATGTATGTAATGTATGTATTATCTGTTGTTATCTGTTCACTGTTAAACATAGGCTTCCCATATAGACTGCCATAAATATCGGGTCTGAGTCACCTGCAGTCCACTGACTCCCTGCAATGCATTTGAGATCCATCTAGTGGGGGAGGGGTCGTCCTATACCGCGTTTGTCCATACTACCGTATCGCCACTTAAAAACCTTTCGTCCCCCATCGGTTGTCGGTTCTTCGAGCTATGTGATCAGCCCATTGCCACTTCAGCTTACTTATCCTTCGGCTATATCGGCCATTTTGATTCTTTTGCGGATATCCTCATTTAGGTTTCTATCACGCAAAGAGACTCCAAGCATAGTCCGCTCCATAGCTGAATATCTTAAAGCTTTTGCATACGGACTACTGTATACCATGCCATATATTATTACCTCGTGTGTTTTCAGTCGATTAAATGATAATTCATTTACGTGCCTTTTTGTATACTTTTTAAACTTGCTTTAGATATATAATAAAAGATCCTGTATGTAAATGTATATTTCACCAAATGATTACATTTCTGTCGGTTCTGTCAGTTACAAAAGTCGATTGCTTGGGTACCTCTGTCCCATTCGTGTTTCAACCGTGAATCAGTTGTTTGCATGGCTGTGTTTCGGTTTGAAGGGTGGGATATGGCGTGAATTTACTGGGTATAGAGGAATAACACCTGAGTCCTCAGGAATGGCAACGCATGGGGGGTATCATGGGCGATACTGTATACTCTGTCATGTCCATAGTACTACTCATGTCTATAGGCAACGGTTACCACTTTCCATCAGGTGGGCTGTCAGCTTGTTTGCCATTCTAAGTTGTATAAAAAAAACGATTTTTGCTTCCTAATGGGGTTTTGACGAATTCTGGTTTTAACAGCATTAACAGTCTTTGTAGTTCTAGCAGCACGCGGCCGCCTCGATATTTTCTGGTCTTCGACAGAGGAAGTGTTGTTGTATCTGTTGAAAGTACGATATACGAACATACGGTTGATACCAAGCTTTTGAAGTGTCTGGAATATGACCGACGGCTCCATACCCACTTTGTGCAAGGCGATCACTGCAATCCTATTTTCTTTGACACCCTATTCCATATCGTAATTTGATAAAGAACACGAAAAAATATGTGACATGGCGCGAAATCGAAAGAAGATTTTAAAATAATAAATGTGTTCCAAATTCAAAATAATTAAAAAGTTGAAAAAAAAAGGAAAAGTTTTTATGTAACAGTATTTATGACCAGACTAGTTATATGGCCGTGGATCAGTGAACATTGACACTTGTCGGTAATAAACACTTTAATTAATTGGCTATACAATGATATAATTTATTCACTTTTTTGTGCAATGAAATGTAACCGTATAAGTTTGTCCATACATTATGCATATTTACATGACTTTTCATGCAAACAAATGATCATTTAGGTGGTACGTATCGCATGCATTAAGTGCATTCCAATATTACACTTTACACTTAGCTAATATTGAGAATTGTTGTATTGATTGGTAAAACTACTGCGCCATTATGAATATAAGAATTGCTACTGATTTCTTTGTGTTTTTTTTTTGTTGTTTTACTTTTTTGTTACGATTAAACTAAAATATTCTCTATTTTCTATAGAGAGCTACCTTATCAGTAAATAATAAATAAACGTAGGCTGTATTTGATTTTATTTACCCGTCCGAAGCCGGGTCTGGTTGCTAGTATCTCTTACATGGCATGACTACAAATTTAATCTTGCTGTTCCAAAGTATCGTTTAGAAAAAGTTAATAGCTCTTTTATGGGAATGGGCATTAAATGTTATAATAAAATACCAAAGTATATTTTGGATCTGCCTTTTAATAAATTTTAAACTATTATTAAAAACACTTATGGAACAAAGCCTATTAAGTCATACTAAACGATTACTTCAATGATAAATGGGAATGGTATTAGTCGATCATGCATGGGTTTTTAACGACCAAGTAATTTTAGACATAGTATATTTATTTAAAAACACATAATGTTAACAGAGATTTAAAACAGTCGAGTTTCTTGCGGACTCTTCTCAACAGGTAACAACTTTCCGAATTCTCAGTAGATTAAAAAAAAAAATGACTGCCGTTTTATTACGATTAAAACCAATTCATACGACACCCTACTTATAAAAATGTATCATGCTATTTAAATTAAACCAGAGAAAGACTTTGTACAAAAGTCGATTGCTTGGGTACCTCTGTCCCACTCGTGTTTCAACCGTGAAGCAGTTGTATTTGCATGGCTGTGTTTCGGTTTGAAGTGTGGGATATGGCGTGAATTTACTGGGTACAGAGGAATAACACCTGAGTCCTCAGGAATGGCAACGCATGGGGGGTATCATGGGCGAAACAGTATGCGTGTGTACTGTTATGTCCATGGTACTGCTCATGTCTATGGGCGACGGTTACCACTTTCCATCAGGTAGGTCATCGGCTTGTTTGCCATTCTAAGTTGTATAAAAAAAAATTATAATATAACGTATCAAATATCCGGATATACTTGTACATACAACCAAAACAAATTACCGTCCATTATTCGCCAGTCCGATTATCATAGTTAGTCCACTTTTTGTATAAATTTAGCATTGTCCAAATATAATAACAAACTTCATTGATACCTACAAAGATTCATCAATGTCTTGTTAAAATGATCTTTGTGTTGTTTCAGCTAATATCACCTACCATTGTGAAGAAGTGGAAAGTGCAAATCATTACGAGTTGGTTAAGGAAATTAACAAACTTGCAACTTGTTAAGCTCACAGTGCAATACATAACGTTCCAGTCGTGGACGAGTTTGAAGATCAAACGATAAAACAAAGGAAATCCGTAAAAGTAATTACGAAACAATCGTTAAATTTTGTTTTGTATCAAACATTTTATAATCACTTGATTGTGATGAAGATTAATTGAAATTGGAATAGATGGTAATTATGATAAATGGCAACCAATGAATATGTACAGATAGAACAAGTATAGGGATACTTTTGAGACATTGTGAAGGAAATTCTAATAAAAAACATTTATTATACAAGAAAGATATAACGTAAATGTTCAAATAAGTTTTTTAAAAATATTATTTAAAATGAATACAATAAAAAATAGATCATAATCAGATCTATTGCAAAATATATATCTATGAATTGTAAGTTTATTTTAAAACAAAGTAATGTACAATTACTACATCAATTTTATTACCTATGGATATTTGATTTAAATAAATTTGCACTAATTTGTAAAAGTCACTACCACTAAAATTGGAAGCCTAACATGTTGATTACAATCCACAAATAACATTGTTGCGTATTGAGATGAAATAGACTGTTATCTGCGAAGATATATGTGGAGGTTAAAGGAAAGGAAAAGTGGTATCCGTAATTTAAGTAGAACTATCTTCATTGGAACACAATGAAATAGAAGTTGCTGATGAAAATGCGATATTTTGTGCAGTAATCGAAGGCAATAAAGGTTATATTGGTGAGGAGAAACCTCAAAAAAAGCAAATGTAACTTTGCAATAAGAAAATAACGTAACCTTTGTAAAGGTTAAATAAGAAATCATTCAGCATTAACATGGAGACGTGAGTAATAATTGGGATGTACAAAAAGTTTTTATGAGGTAATTTCATAGTTCGTGAGCGAGTAACGAAGTTGTGGCATAAAAGAAAGCGAAACAAGACCAATATGGCTCAATGTTTTGACAAAAACACGAGTGGCAGCGGAGAAAATTGATTCATTGGGGTTCGAAGATAGCAAGACAGGCTGAACAAATGTATTTTACTGGTATGTTCCATTTTTTATTTATTTATAAGTTTTTAAACCAATATAAGATTTTTTTAAAATATCTTACTAATGAACTACGTTACGATCTCCATTATCGATTGATTAATCAAACATTTATTTACATATAATTCATCATAATTAGTCTAATAACTGACAAGTAATTTAATATAGTTCTGACTGAACATCAAAATCGTCAAAATCAGAACATCTAGAAATTTGTTTTGCTAAATTTATAATAATTATATGTGTAATTTATTTTAATTTCTTATAAATATTTACTTTCCAATTTAAATATATTACGTGCACTCATATCCAAGTCAAACTGTATAAGCAAATTTAAATATTTTATCAAGTAATTTAATATGATCGTGCTGAAATATCAGTAAGTCATCATTAGCTGGCTGTTTTGGTATTACGTTGTCAGAGTTGATTTTTATTCAAAGCACGAAAATATTACATCACGACCTTTATCTGGTCTACACTTTTAGATAATTTTCTACATACTTTAATAAGTAAAAGTACGTGCTTTAATCGTGCAAGTCGGTTCAATATGACTAAGCATTTGTATTATGTAATTGTGCAGCACTTTTCCATAATATCATGCATGGGCCATATTATTATTAGACAGAAAGTTGCTCATTGTGGTTGAAACTCCGTCTTTTGTGAATAGTCGAATCAAACCTTGTGATGATTTTGTTGTATGGAAAATAGATTAGGGCGATGAGCCATTGTTGTCTGTTAATGTTCTTAGGAGTCACGTTTATTCGTACAATATGGAACTGTTAGTAAAATCATTGTGGTGTTTTGTTTATTTTTTTGTTCACATATGTACCTACGTTTTTTTTAAGAACGGTAATTTTGGTTTAATTATCAAAAAAAAAAAAAATAAGTACAAAAATAAGTATAATAATTTAATTGTTAAAATGAGTGAATTGGCTGACCCTTTTTTTTGTTAGTCCGGTTACTGTTACAGTTAAAATATAATGTGTATTTATGAAATTCAACATTATTAGTGACTTAATTTACATTATTAATAATTATAAACTTACACGATTTAAAATTTTATAAATTTAAACTGATTTCTATTTTTTTTAAATTAGTTGTCGTCTTATCTGATATAAAACGTCAAGCAGAAAAGTATCAACACATATAATACACTTATAGAATCAAAAATCGAATTATAAAGATTACAAGATTCAAAATATAAAGTTCTCAGAAACAGGCTTTTATATTGATCCTCTGATGATCTCTAATGATTTTGAAGAGAGCGACCTACACGTTGAAATAAATGAGTATAAATTGGTTGGAAGTACATATTACTAAATTACAATGAATTAATATATCTATTGTTTTATTTTACTCATTTCAATAGAATATTGTTATTTAACCATCTATTTTTTTATACAACTTAGAATGGCAAACAAGCTGACGACCCACCTGATGCAAAGTGGTAACCGTTGCCTGTAGACATGAACAGTAATATGGACATAGCAGAGTATACTGTTTTGCCCATGATACCCCCCCCCCCCATGCGTTGCCATTCTCGAGGACTCAGATGTTATTCCTCTGTACCCTGTAAATTCACTGTCATATCCCACCCTGCAAACCGAAACACAGCCATGCAAACACAACTGCTTTACGGTTGAAACACGAATGGGACAGAGGTACTTAAGCAAATGACTTGTGTACAAAGTCTCCTTCTTTCATCATCAGATTAGTTCAAAACCACAATTAATTGTCATCGTGTATTATGTGTATTAAATTTCAGTTAATTTGCATAGCAAGTTTCCGACTTAAAAGTAACTTGTAAATGTTGATCTAAATTAACAAGCGAAATCATATAAATGAACGCAATATAATCCACTTTCTTATATTTACAAGGACTGGATAAGAATTTAAGTGTAGCATTACTTGCTATAAATAATAATATTAATGCAATGTTCAAAGAAAAGTATTTACATGTTGTGAAAGTAGGAGATGTAATCTAGTCGCATGTTGTACTTACACGAACTAGGAAATACACGACCGACGTGAGATACGAGACAGAGTTATTATATTTAATTAAACAGATACTGTGAGGTACATATAGATATTTTATAGATTCTCCGGAATGTATTTTTGATAAGCCAATTAGAATTAATACCTAGGTTTTAAATAGAGAAGTAGGATGTGTTTTAGTAACAATAAATAACTTTACAAAGGCAGTTAAATTTTTCAATGATTTTTCTATTTTTGAACTGGATGTCTTGGCAGATTTACAGGTAGAACTTTAGAGTTAAATCAACGTGGTAGTATTTGATTATCTAACGATTTTATTACAATTAGTAATAAATTATGTCCAGCAACTAAAAGTGCGATTTAAAAATATTTTATGGAATCAATAGGGGAATGAACCTTAACTAATGCAAAGAGAATTATGTTTTCTAAATTAATAAATGCACTGCCTACTTATTTCTCTATTTGTCCAATGGTTAACTGATGGAAAACAATGTCCGCTGTTAAATTCATCAAATGTACATACAATTTCACTGTACATTTATTTTATACAACTTAGACTGGCAAACAAGCTGACGGCCCACCTGATGGAAAAAGGTAACCGTCGCCTATAGACATGAGCAGTACCATGGACATAACAGAGTATACTGTTTCGACCATGACACCCCCCAAGCGTTGCCATTCCTAGGAACTCAGTTGTTATTTCTCTGTACCCTGTAAATTCACTGCCATATTCCATCCTTTAAACCGAAACACAGCCATGCAAACACAACTACTTCACGATAGAAACACTAATGGGAGAGAGGTACTCAAGCAAACGACTTTTGTACAAAGTCTCCCAGTGCATTAAAGTTTAAATGAAAATAAATTATCGAAATTAGCAAAGCCGTTACATAATCTACAGTTAAAAAATACAGACGAGTTTAGAAATTCCTCCTCTATGCAGTCGCTTAATAAATAACTAATAATAGTAATTTGTAATACAGCAATTTTCTCATTGTTACCGTAGTGACGTATTCTATAAATGAAACATAATTGTATAATGACGTGCATTGCATTTTCGGAATGTACAAAGCAAATCATTTTCCCATCAATCCAACATGTTTTCACTTTCTGATCACTTCTCCGTGTCGGTTCTTTTTTGTCATTGTGATAAAAAGGGAATTACGCAAAGGGCTAGTGAATGGACTCATCGGTACGGCGACAAGTTTGAACCTTTCTCATTGTAGTTTTTGGGCGCGTCGTATATTTCCAGATCACTGTGCGTGAACTTCTAGAATCACATACGTCAAAAGGGAAAATGGAATACTATAGGGTAATTTTGATGTCACTCTATTAGTTCGTCTGTTAACAGTCTTTTCCTCAGGAATGCGCGGAGGTATTAAACAGAAATTAATAACTAATAATCAACTATACACTTCCATAAAGTTGTGAAAAAAAAATCTTTGTTGTTTACGTAATAAAAATATACGGTCGTTTCTAGCGTATATTTTGACATTTACAAGGGAATCAATGTTATCTTTAACTTGTCTTTTATTCGCGTATGGGGTCAGCTAAGCCGTTGCACGTCGACTCATCGTCTATTTATTATAATTATTTGAAAAATTAAATAAATGAAATACTGTTCATTTTTCTAAAATACTGTTTGATATTCTTCTCAGACCTAAACATGCTTTATGTCTTGGGGAAAAAGTTGGAATCCCTAATTACATGTACAACTTGCTTATCCATTTATTATTTTGTTCTTATATACACGTTACTATGGTTTATTTCTCTTTGTCATGATCAATTAATTTATTTTTAAGATCTATATCCATGGTTTCAATTATACGACTACAAATTACAAGACATTTAACAAACAATTGTTCGTTTTGTTAAATTTGCATACAACTAACATTAAGTATAAGATATACTGGTATTGTATTGTTGTATCAGACGGAAGATTTCAAAAATACGTATGCGAATTTTCATTATATTCAATTACGTATCGCTCTTGCTTAGTTCTCACGTTATTGTCTTCATGAACTCACTGTAGTCTAAGCAAGATCTCTTACACTTTCGCTTACTATGACTCACGTTTCCCATAACTTTATCGATGCCCGTGTCATGATATAAATAATTTAACAGTGCTTTTGTTTTCTTTGTTCTTTTGGATAACAAATATAATAAGATTATTAATTTATAGTACGCATTATTTAGTAACATTTTCGAATTTTTGATTTTTTTTAAATTTTTAATTATCTTCATGTAATGTAATGTAATATAATGTAAATTGGACTCTCTTTTCCGCGTTTAGCCTCTCATTAGGGCCGTTGTGCGTATGAGTCGTGGCTAGTACAGCTAATCCATTTAGTAACTTTTTCGAATTTTTGATAGTTTTTACTAAACTATTAATGATTTTCATGTAATATAATGTAAATTGGACTCTCTTTTCCGCGTTTAGCCTCTCATTTGGATCGTTGTACCTTGAGTCGTGACTAGTACAGCCAGCCCAGCTCCGTCCAGAAGCACAGAAGCTTTCTGGGATTTTCTTAGGCCCAAAAGAGCGACCTCATCGTTTTCAGGGTTTCTAAACGTTGAGGGGCTACAGCTTCACATTCCAGGATTACGTGATCAGCCGTTTCTTCGGCGTCAAAGCTAGAGGTGTTAAGTTGAGGGCCACCTCTATTGCTGTTGTAGGAGTTGTTTTCATGCAGCTGCTGACAGTAGAACAAGCCAGTCTCTGGAAGCTTTTTAGTTTGGCAGTAGTAGTCGTTAGTTTTGTCCTCGGCCACCAAACCAGCGCACCATACACCATTATTGGTCTTATCACAGCTCTGTACAACCATAGAGTTATTTTTGGTGTAAGATCCCATTTATTTCCTAGCATCTTTTTCCACAGGTAGAATGCAACTGTGCCTTTGTTTAGTTAATAGACAAGATGTTTGTTTCAAAGCAATTTATTGTATAGTATAATGCCAAGGTACTTAACTTCTTCATTAAGTTTCAGTTCTGTATTGAAGAGT